GCATACAAAAAAAAAAAAAAAAAAAAGGTCCATTCTTGCTATATGATTGCTCAACACTTTGTTGAAGCAGGTCTTTTACAGAGAGGACTGTTTAGATGTTGTAAGAATGCAGTAAACAATTAAGTTCAGTTCACAGATGCCCCTTTCACTCTATTGCTTGTGACCTCAGTTTACCCTAGAAAACTGCTCACATGCCACATCTAAGGTTTATTTAGTAGCAAAGTGTTAAAGCCCACTAATATTAATTCTACTGGACAGTACAACAGTTAGTTGTGCACTGAATGTGTGTCAGGGTTCGGGCCTACAAAAAATGTCTTGCCAAATACTCTGTTGATCTTAGGAACGCTTAATAATCAGAGACGGATGTGTTGTTAAATTCATGCTTTTTTTCTTTTTTTTTTGACTCAACCTCATTTTTATTAGTATATTAAGTTTTGATATTATTAGGTCTTGGCAAGTGTACTTAGGATGTGTTTCAATTAATCACTTGTATGACAGCCTTGTACTGAGAGACACTGATTGCATTTCCCATATAATGAGGCCTGCATCAATATATTTGCCACGTTCAGTTACACCAGGGTCATTTACAACCGCCATAAGAACATATTTCCCAGCAGAAATGACACCCACTTACCATCACCCACATGCATTTCCTCGCAGGAAGCCCTGTCGCGTGTTCCTCTGGCTGTAAACGCTTCCGTCACAAATCATACGTGCTGTTTACCACCAAGTGCTCTCGTTTCACACTGCTGGTGGCCTCCAAATGGATTTTTTTTTTCTTCATTTTCCATGATCATAACTTAACATTACCCGGGCCATGTCTCTTACAGGACTGGCTCAGTGGAGATCGAACTTTCGAGCGCACAACATTGTCAGAACGGTAAATCCATGGCCTTCAAGTCACATCAATTACAGAGGAGAGCACGGGCAGTAATGCAGACACCTATATCAGAGAAACCAAGCAGGAACCCTGAACTGTACCTGAATACTAATGACAAAAATAAGCAATCCTCCATTCACACACAGTACGACACAAATCAGACTTGTTTTCGTCATGCCCAAGTACTTATCATATTGAGTTACTGTCATGATTTGATTTAAGTATAGAGCTTTTTAATGTAGCCTAAAGGAGTTTAATAAGGACATATTGATTTTTTTATGGATTTTGCTTAATTGTGTTTTCGGAAATTAAAAAAAAAAAGAAAACTAATCAATATGCTTTTATTGGTTTAAATATGCTTTTAATGGATATTGTATGTATAAAATAAATATAAAAAGAAATGAAAGAATAAGTAAATAAAAGTTGAAAAGTATAATAATAAATGTAAAAAAAATACAGAAAATAATAACGGAAAAGGGTAATAAAAATAAAGGAAAATGGTTAAAAAAAAATTACTTCAGGATTAAATGTTATTACAAATTAACTATATTTGTTTTTATCCAGTCATTTATTTCTTTATTTATTTTCCTATTACATTTATTCATTCATTCAGTCATTCTGCAGGTTTGGTCCTCCATATTGCTCAACTGTGTTTCAATAAATGTCAAAAAACTTGAAAACTATAATCAGTATGCTTTTATTGGTGTAACTAATAAACTAGATATATACATATTTGAATGTAACCAAGCACCATATACACAAATAGAGTCAGGAATAATACAAACAGTTCAATTAAACTCAGTAAACAAAATAGATTCTGGTTTAGAAAGACTAGTTGCGAACATCTGCGAAAGGACTATACAAACATATGTACAAGGACAAAGTACAAGACCCAACTAATATGAGAATATTCACATATTTAAAACCCAGCCCTTACTGTAGTACATTAACAAACAGCTCTGTACTGTTATTTTTTTGTGATTGTTCAGCTTTTATGACTAAATGAACTGAATTATTATTCAGTAATACATTATGTATTTGTGCAAAAACACTGTTTTAAAAGTTGAGCTCTACGCATATTCTACAACCATATTTTTGAGAAATTTAACTGGATAATTTTATTAGAGGTCTATCAATCAGACATGGCTGTTAACAGTGAGAAAAATGGGTGACATGGCAAGTACAACAAGGCATAAATAGGAGACATTAACAGTGTGTGTCAAATAAGCAAAGTGTGCAATTATTTTGACAGAATATGCAAGTTTTAATAAACAAAAATCTAAGAGGTAAAATCAAATATAGGACAAATTAGTTTCTCTGGTCTGGTTTGTTCCAGGCTTGTGCAACCTCTGCTGTATATTAATTTTAAACTCATTTCCTATACAAAAAAAAGTGAACTCATATTTTCCTGAAACTTATTTAAAACAGGAATGGTCCGTAGAGAATTTGGTCTTTTAAAAAAATCAGCTGACAAGTTGGTCCCTAAACAATCATATTACTTTCATCTATATTAAATAAAAAATAGAGAAGGTAAAATTCAGCTTCTCAAATGGACTCTTGCAATCATTCAGGGTCACACGCTGCATGGAGGGCGTCCAGAACTGGTTATTGAGCAAACATTCAGTTGAGTGGTTTTGTCCTCAATTACCAGATATTCCCTTGTATATTCTGCTCTTGGGAGAACAGAGTGCCAGTCACGGTCCACTGCTGCAGACTCTTATGTAGCGCAGTCCCTTAAATCCTTCAGTCCAGGGCTTTGTTAGGATGGATTTGTGAGATCACCCTGTGGTTAGGTTGTTGTCTGGTGGCTCTAGGGTCTCAGCGATGTCCTCCAGCTCATCCAGGAGCTCAGAGAAGGAAGGTCTTCGGAATGCATCCATCTGAGAGAAAGACAGAAACAGGATAAGCTTTGGTGTTTCACTGAATCTGTTGCATATACATCTTCAAAACAGTTAACCAGGTGATTCAGGAGCCACATTATGAATGCTGAAGGTGAAATCTCTCTCTTGACAGGTGTTAGTTCTATTCAGTCACGCCATATTAAACACGACCCTCGAGTCGCTACCTCATACCTGACAACAGCTGGCAGAGAGTTCCAGAACCCGCTCTGGGCAGCCCTGCACCAGCTCTCTGAACGATTCCACATCCAGCCCATAGTCCTGTCAACAGATCACACACAGATGTCAATTTTACTTTTAATATTTCCTTTGAAAGAACACTGCATACTGAAAGATGTGGCGTTGTCAGCATTCAGTAGTTATCTCATTAAAAAAAAAAAAAAGTTAACGCCAATTTGAAAACACACTGCATTTCTTTAGGCGCGTCAAAGACAAACAACTGTATTACTAGGAAAGTGTAGGACAAACTTAAACAACAAAATGCAAAGTATGATAGCGTCTATGATAAACTGTAAAAAAAAAAGTAATGTAAATTTTACAAACTACATTTCACAATAACACTGCAAGACAACACTTTACAAACTATATCTCACCAGAAAATTGCAAAACAAACTTTACAAACAAACTGTATGTCACCAGAAAACTGTAAGTCAAACTTTACAATTTTACCAAAAAATTATACAAAATTTAGAAACAAACTATACTTCACCAGAAAATTGTAAGACAGACAAACTTTACGATTTGTCCGGAAAACACTTTAACAAAACACTTTATGAAATACATTTCACCACAAAATTGCAACACAAACTTTACAATCTATATTTCACAAAAAAAATGTAATGCAAACATTATGATTTCATCAGAAAATTATACGAAACACTTTACGAACTATATTTCACCACAAAATTGCAACACAAACTTTACAATATATATTTCACCAGAAAAGCGTAAGATAACCTTTAAGGTTTCACCTGAAAATTATACTCTTTACAAAGTATATTTCACCATATAATTGCAACACAAACTTTATGAACAATTTATATTTCACCACAAAAATTTAAGACAAACTTTACGATTTCACCAGAAAAATGATACGAAACACTTTACAAACTATACATTTCACCACAAAATTGCAACACAAAATTTTGTGGTGAAATATAGATTGTAAAGTTTGTGTTGCAATTTTGTGGAGAATTATAGTTTATATAAGGTATTTTGTATAATTCTCTGGTGAAATTGTAAAGTTTGTCTTAATATTTTCTGGTGAAATATAGATTGGAAAGTTTAAGACAAAATTTACGATTTCACCAGAGAATTATACAAAACACTTTACACACTATATTTCACCACAAAATTGCAACACAAACTTTACAAACAATCTATAAATTTACCACAAAATTTTAAGACAAACTTTATGATTTCACCAGAGAATTATACAAAATACCCTATATAAACTATAATTCTCCACAAAATTGCAACACAAACTTTACAATCTATACTTCACCACAAAATTGCAACACAAACTTTACAATCTATACATAAATTTACCACAAAATTTTAAGACAAACTTTATGATTTCACCAGAGAATTATACAAAATACCCTATATAAACTATAATTCTCCACAAAATTGCAACACAAACTTTACAATCTATACTTCACCACAAAATTGCAACACAAACTTTACAAACAATCTATATTTCACCAGAAAATTTTAAGACAAACTTTACGATTTTACTAGAAAATTACACGAAACGCCTTACAAACTATAATTCACCACAAAATTGCAACACAAACTATGATTTTACCACAAAATTACTAAAAACTTTACAAACTATATATTTCACCATAGAATTGCAGCACAAACTTTACAAACTATACTTCATCAAAAAACACACACCTTACAAATAAATTAAATCTCACCAGAAGATATGAAGAAACTATAAACAAACTATATTTCACCTGGAAATTACAAGATTACACTTTGCAAGTAACTTTAAACATATCACTAAAAAAGTACAGACAAACCTTACAAACGAACTATATCGCAGTTAGGAAGGTCAAAGCAAACTGTACTTTTTTAAAATCAAATAAATGCAACCTTGATGAGCATAAGACACTTCTTTCAAAAACCTGAACCCAACCACGTGTCTTTAGTCTCATACATATATTAACAATTACAGTGAAAATGTAGATGGACCAGAAAATCATTATCCTTGATGTGACAGAAGAGCACGATGAATAAATCCATACTAAAGAATCTAAATGTCCGTGCGATGGTTCCCTTGACCTAGATCAGATCTATCTGTTCTCTCCCCTCCAGACATCATCGGCTGTCCATCAGCATTAATGAAGCGTAAATGACCACACTGCTGTACACCAAAGCGCAATCACTCTGTCTGACCTTACTTTCATCTCCAATGCAGGAAAGAGAACCATATTAATTCACGCAACATATCAAGCCTCTCTTAAGGGTTGTATGTAACCATCCCAGAGCTCGCGCAAGTGCTAAATTATGCAATCTGTGTATTGTACATGAAGTAGTATTCATTTGCATATGCTGAAAAAAGGTGTAGAAACTGTTTTCTTTGTGTTTACCTTTGTCCTGGGCAGCACTTCTGGGTCGGCAGGGATTCTTGCTAAGATCTCACACAACATGATCCCAAAAGAGAAGACATCCACCTATGATTAAACAGAGAAAAACAGCAAAGGTTCAGTTCAGTCTCTAATAACATCAGCTCTCTCAATGAAGCAAAAACAGCTCACAGTTTATTGTGTCTGTTACTCATTATAAATGACTTTCCTAATCTGTACCTCAGCCCTGACCTATTAAGGTTGGCATCAAATCAGAAGGTTAATTTTTAATTAAGACGCAACTGCAAAAGGTTATGTGGATTGATGTGAAATCTGTCAGTAAATCAATACTAATTTAATTTTCGGGGAAAAGACTATCCAACCGTAAATGTCCTATTTTACACTTTCGTTTTCAAAGTCGTCCCTCTCATTTTAGTGGTACAGCATTCTGTTCTCAGTACCTTGCGGTCGTACGGCTCTCCTCTAAGCATTTCAGGCGCCATCCAGAAGGCCGACCCCACCAGAGACAACTTCCTGTCAGGGTCATTTGCAGGCAGATCCCCCACTTCTCTGGCCAACCCGAAGTCTGTGACCACGGCCTCTCTGCCACGTGAGGTCACGCGGATCAGGCAGTTCTGGATTGACAAAAACAAGATTCCACATGTAGAAGATTTTATCTCACATGATCATCTTTCAATGTGGTATGAGGAAAGAAAGCAAGCGAAAATAAGCAAAGGAAAAAAGTATAAGGAAGATTTTTCTCCATCTTACCAAAATGACAAGAGTTATCTTACAACCCACAATTTTTCCAAACAGAACTACAAAGCTACACAATTACAGTATTGTGCCACAAGATGGCAGTATTGCTCCACAGGAAGATTGAGCACTAAGAAATTGTCTTTCACTCGGCGTCTCTATTACAAAATCCCCTACACTCTAAAAAATGCTGGGCTAAATACAACCCAGTGCTGGGTAAAATAGGGACAAACCCAGCAATTGGGTTGTTTTGACCCAGCGGTTGGGGCACTGGGTTGTATTTAACCCAGCATTTTTTAGAGTGTAGAGCCTAAAGAAAAACCCAGACATTACCGGACCATTTAATTATTCAAATCGGGTGTGTCATGGACAGTTTTTCATCAGCACATGACTCCAAAGCTGTGGAGTTCAAGTTCTTGAGCTTTAAAGTTCCTGTTTTCCTCTATTTTAAACAGAAAGTCAAGGCTCTAACATACACTCTAAAAAAATGCTGGGTTAAAAAGGGACAAACCCAGCTATTGGGTTGTTTTCACCCAGCGGTTGGGATGTTTTGAACCCAACCGCTAGGTCAAAACAACCCAATAGCTGGGTTTGTCCCTTTTTAACCCAGCGCTGGGTTATATTTAACCCAGCATTTTTTTAGAGTGTATGATTGGACTAATAATATATAATAGTATGCAATAAATATAACTATAAACAATATTTAAATGATAATAATAATAATAATCATCATTATTACACAGAAATGTTTACACAATGCAACAAATTTCACTTGAATTTTGATGTTTCTTCAGTAATTCTGTGGTGTTCGTTATTATTGCAGTGCACTATTTATTTTCACGTATTAGCATTTTGGTCAGGCCAATTATGGAACTTCTATCATTAATTATGAAACATTGGTTTAGTACAGATAAGTTTTTATACTAATTTAGCATGTTTTTTTAAAGATATTTTGCTTTCACAAGGATGGGAACATTCTAGAAGTTTCTGTAACATTCTGGAATATTCTAGTGCTTTCTGGAACATTCCAGAAACACTGTGGGACTACTCATAAAAGACAAAAATCATCCAACATACACACGACTCACTTTTGGCAACTGTTTATGTACTTTTTATGCACGAGAAACAACAAATTAGTATAACAAATGTATAAGTGGACAGCATATTTTTTTAGTTTGATACACAAAAAGTAATGTGATTTTCGCATTCAGCATGTAAAATTTCATAAAGAAACATAAAAAATAAAAGCGAAACAAAACTTTTATAAAAAATTTGTTTCGCAGTGCTATAGATATATTAATTTCTTTCATTTAATTGATATCTAATAATAATCATTTAAATATTATTATAAACAATGTATAATAATAATACATATACAATGTAATAATTGGGTTTCATAAACAATTATATTATTATAGATACATTTATTTAATTCATTATACTATGTAATAATAATAATTTAATTATTACTATAAACCATATTTAATAATAATGATGTTGATTGTTAATGAACCCATTTATATTCTATATCTTTAACAACAAAAACAACAATAATAATAATAATAACTATAAAATGTAATAATTGAGCTTATTAATAATTAAATACATAATTATTATAATTTTTTAGTACACTAAAGTTAACTTTTACTTGAGTTTTACTAAATCTTCTCTTGCCCATGTTACTCAATGAATGTGTGTAATCAAGTGAACTTAATTTAGTGTAATTTACCCGAGTTCTTTTAATGAAACAAAGTGTAAAATCAGCTTTACTTGACAAGCATTTTGTTCAGTCAATGCATCAGTAACATTAGTGAGTAAAATGCACAAATTGATAAATATGATGTGGAAAGGTGAGCGCAAACTCTCTGACTTCAACTCAAATTAAAGCACACACAGTAGTCTTTCACCAGAGCATCAGGTAGAGACATACATCAATGGGACATCGGTGAGAATATGCAATGAGTGTGGTATCATGCTCTGAGGTTTCATGTGTGGCAGTAACAGTACCCATGTATTTTAAGTAAACCCATTGACATAAGGCAGCTATACAACCACATGTAACCTCTGGTGTGGAAATTTGAACCTGCTGTGTTATGCAAGCAGAACGAGTAATGTTTTACCTCCACAATGTGTAATGGCTTGTAAACTATAGAAGCAATATTTGTGCTATGGACTTCATGTGGCTTGTTCAGGTTTTGTTCAAGTGAGTGTACTTTCTTTTCCTGGTGGATGATAAAAGCTAAAAAAAAAAATCCCTCAGACTTGCAATGGGCCAGTAAACAACCACCAACACATTAGCAACGACACAGCATTGTGGCAATGAGTTTACTTTAGCATGGCCATACATTTTCTTCAGAAAATGTAAAAATCTAGTTATAAAACATAAAAACTGTTTCAAAATGGCAAGGCTAAGTTATGTCTCTGCTTGTGAGCAGGGTGAGAGGATAAAAGCTCGACAGTTGACAGGAGTCAGCGGGTCATTTCTTATGAGAGCGAGAAGAAAGGAAATGAGAAAAAAAGGTTAGCGAGTGAAAGCAGCCGCAGTCTGGAGTTTATGGAATGGTAAATGCTGGCTACAGCATTAGCATAATAAAGGTCTGACCTCCCCATCTCTGTTCAAACACACAGGCCTGTGCTCACTGCTCACTGCAGCCTGGCAACTGCCACAGTTAAACCTGTCAAGACCATGACTGTTTTTCTCTGCTTACAGCTTTATAGGGGTACAGGTGCCCTTCCCAAAATGCAACAAAATTCTTGTCTTTTAGTCATTTCAACAATATGAGTGAGGGTGTCTCATACTTTTAATACTTTTATTTACCATGGATGCACTAAACTGATTAAAAGTGACAGTAATAGTGTTGCCAAAGATTTCTATTTTAAACAAATCAGGTTTTTTTTAACTTTCTATTCATCATCCTGAAAAAAATATATCACGGTTTCCACAATAACAGTAATACTTGAGCTCACATCTCCGAAAACGTCGGAGCAAAATTTCAAATAGACGTTATCTTTATTAACAAACCGCATATTTAAAGTCTAAACAAGTATATTCTCGACTAAAAACTCTTAAAACTACATTCCATGACAAAAACAGTATTATTAATAAAATCATAATGGATGTGAGCATCTGACGTGAGGCTCTCTTTGAGAAATACTGCAAGCGGAGTGATACAACGGTGAAACAGTTAGAGTTCTGTTATCACTAGAATATCGCACCGCTGGAAAAGGCTCTCAGCCAGTTAGATTCGAGGACCAGAAAGAACTGTTTTTACTGTATTTTTAATCAAATAAATGCAGCTTCGGTGAACATAAGAGAAAAAAAATCTTACAGACCCCAAACTTTAAAACGGCAGTGTATTTACAGTGGGATTTTCAATAGGAAGGATTTCCTGATATGTTTTTTCCTTCACTGGATTTCTATAAACACATTCTGAAGAAAAACATGAAGCATCACTCTTATTTTCCCCAGGGCTGATCCTGTTCCTTTACAAAATACGTTTCCTTCAGGACACAATGTTCTTTACTAAAAAATGTTGAAATACCTTGGCCCGTGGTGTGAGAATGGTCACAGTGGAGGCATGTGGCACAGTTTTTCATGTTCTGTGCGTTTCGGTATTAAGCACGTTATCTGCGTTCCATCACTCTGCTATTGTGTTCATAAGCGATGAATGGAAACCATAACTGAAGTAAATCTACAGAAACCAAAGCCTTTCACTCAAGATAATATCAAGCACTCTGAGTTTTACACATTGAAAAATCACACTGAGAGCTACTTGTCACAAAATGCCGTAAAAAATAATTCCAAACGTGAATAACAGCCAAATAGATATTTTTGCACACATACTACCTATAAAATGCATTAAATTCATCACAGAATTTACATAAGCAAATAACCTTTTCCAGAACTAACTTCACTTTAGTTGGTTAGAAGGTAATGGCTAAAATTAGTTAAGTTAGAAAATGTATAGCAACAGTTTGCGGATATCACTTTTATATTTCTCTAATGCACTGAAATGAATTTTTATTTCAAATATATTTTTCTATTTTAATAGATTTTAAATATGACGTAAGCATCCAGATACCTTTGGGGCCACTGTGTAAGTATGCCAATCTTCACTTTGTAAGATTATGGGCGATAATATTATGTTTATCTCACAACTGATATCAGAAACTAAACTGTAAGCAATAAAAAAAAAATTAGGTTATATGAGAAAGGAGGAAATGGACACAAGCGAAGTGTGCTAACTACCAGTTAAACACTAAAATCTGTGGTATTATCCGCATATATGGTACTCGCTGAATCATGTATTGAACACATTTTGTTCAAAACATGACTCAAGTCAGGCAAGCTAATAGAACATTAGACGTAAAAAACATTAGCAGAAATTTCAATGACAAATGTCTGTCATTAGCTATAAATGCAAGGCGTGTTCTTGGCACACACCTTCAAATCTAGGTTGAACACTGCAAGGTGATATTTCATAATATATCTTTGCCATAATTGCTCAACTTTGATCCCTAAAGTCTGCCAACTCACTCGTCCTCACCTTAGAGTTGAGATCTCTGTGGTAGATGTTCTTGTAGTGGAGATAGGTCATTCCTCGGCTGATATCACAGCCCAGTTCGATCTTCTCTCTCCAGCAGAGGTTGACGTCATGCCTGGCCAGCAGCTCCTCCAGACAGCCTCCGCTCACATACTAGGTGGAGGAGGGAACGACATGAGATTATAAAACACTTCGAATTATGATTTATACAGTGAAAATGCAGCTCACTTTTGCAGCATGTTAAATCAGGAAAACTTTTTCTTTGTAGAAAATGATATACTCTTGACACATTAGAAAAACATAATGGTGAGTCACTGCATGTGTCATGAGACTTTCTGGGCAGCACGTTGAGAAGGCAAAAGACTGGATATGCTGAATTGTGAATACTAAATCCTAAAAGTTGCCACCCACCTCAAGAATTGGGTACAGCTTGTTCTCCTTGACACAGATCCCCAGGTACCTACAGAATGAAAATCACAGTACTTTACTTTATCCATCTGAGAACTGAGGAATTATGCAAAGTTTAGAAGTTTGCATAGGTAATGACATAAATGACAGAATGACAAATCATTCAATCAGCACATGTGAACTTTATACATCTGCGTAAATTTTCATCATAACCCTTTATATTGACTTGAGATCAATTTGAAACTAATAAATGAAACAAATTAGTAGTGCAAATACATTTTCAACCAAATGTAAGTAATGCCTATCTAAAACTCCCTGCTATATCATGATAGGGCAGTTAAAAGGGCATTGCTATGCAGTTGCATACTCAAATTGGGTAGTCAAAGGAGGCCACATTTTATGATATTATGGTCTCTAGATATGGCCTGAATACAAAGGGTTAAATGTTAGTTCTTACCCTAAGTATGAGCACACAGGGATATTCAAATTCTGGCTGATCCCTAAACATTATTTTCATGTTATTAATGATAATTGATATTAAAATAAATAAATATATATATATATATAATATTGTCTAAATATATGAAAAATAAAACACAAGAATTGCAAATCAAATTTTTTAAATGCTACAGGTGTGCAGTATGAAAATGGATATTCATATGGAAATTTGTTAAAGACATAAATGGTGTTATTAAATTATTAATGTTCTTGAAGATTAACTTTTGTGAGTGTTAGTTCACAGGAAAGGTCATCTAACAATAAAAATATTAGAAATGAAGATGCACAATTAAATTATAAAAATCCTCTAAATAAAAATAACTAACCTGGTGCAGATATATCATCTATACTTAAAAGCAATACTAATAATGATTGGCAAACATAACTAGAACTCAGTATCTAAAACAATGGCTGTGTGTAGGTAATACAGTCACACAGACTGATGCTTTTAACATCAGAACACCATCTAAATTGTAGCCATTTCACCGGTTTACCTTTGTTCAAGGTCAGGAAATCTTAACCCAGTCGGGTTTTATTACTCAGTATTAGGCCGACAGAGTCAAGTTGTTTTCTTCCCATGTTCTGAGTGGGCGCTATGAGCATCAGGCCTGCGTGGGATTGATGGAAGTGATTAATCGTGTGCGCAGAGGCGGCTCACCTCACTATGTTGGGGTGGGAGAGTTTCTGAAGTAGACTGATCTCCCTCACGATGCTGTTCTGATCCACATCATTCTTATAGATCTTCACCACCATCACCTTCTTCGTGGTGCCGTGCATCACCTGAGCGAGGGAGAATTACATCATTATTGCCTCAGCAGCGAAGGCGTCACATACTGTACATACAGTGGGAGTTTCAATAGGAGGGATTTCCTGACATGTTTTTCCTTCACTGACATCCTGTAAACACATTCACAACAAAAAGGAGCATCACTGTTTTTTTCCCCTGGGCTAATTCTGTACAGTACTTGTCTCCTTTAGGACACAATGTTCTTTACAAATGCTGTCATTACTTGGCCTGTGGTGTGAGAATGGTCACAGTGGAGGCATGTGGCACAGTTTTTCACATTCTGTGTATTGATATTAAACACGTTATCTAGGTTCAATCGCTTTGCTATTGTAAAGCTCTGCTGTGATCTAAGGCCTCTCTAAAGTCTTTCCTTAAAGATAGTATCAAATGTTTCACACCATAATAATGGCATTTTTGTGAGTGTTGGCATTACTTGTAACAAAATGCCATTTGGTTTCTTACAATTGAGGTTAAAGGAACACTGAAGAGATTTTGCAAAACAAGAAAAGTTAGCATATAAATAATGTGGTTACTATAGGTTCCTCAGGCATTTTTTAAAACCATCTAGTTATTTTCTTGTTTGTGAAGGTTTTCAAGATCATCTAAGCTTGACAGGGTGGTGACGTATGTGACGTTAAACATGTATTTCTTAGTTGGGTTAAAGACTGTCTGCAGGACGTAGCTTGTTTTTTAGGAGACAACAGACACGTCATGTCTGTAAGGTTCTGTTGTAAGGACTAACAGGGCAGTGACTTCCAGACAAAATGATTAGAAAATTATTTAACATTTTGGCAACAGAATTCGGGTGGGTACATAATCCCTAACAATTATTTATGCTGGAGATACGGACCCTTTGCTCTTGAAAGGCAGCAGGTGGTGGAACGAAAACATTTACCTTGAAGGTCTCAATGCCTTAGATCTCGATGTGCCTCATTTTCACAGCTTTGATTAAATCAGTGCACTTTTGCTACAGGGCAGATTATCTAATCAGGTTCTGTGCTGTTCAATAACCATTATTACATGCCGCCTTTAGGACATTCTAGCAATTTTAGCACATTTTTCACAAACTTTCAGTCTCCAAACAGTAATTTGTCTCACTCCTCCATTACTGCCAGGAAACCTTTACCTTGTAGACCTTGGAGAAGAAGCCGGTTCCAACAAGCTCTGCGCTGAAGTCTTCCCAGAACTCTAGCTTGCGGACGGTGGTCCGGAGTCGGTGCCAGCAGTCGGTCTGGCAGTAGGTGTCTGTGGACTCATTGAGCAGCGTGGGACTGACTGGTTCTGGAGTGTCTTCTACCTCACACATCTCGGAGATCTCATCTACAACAGAAAAAGCAGAAGCAGGAGAGATAAAGCTTAGTTTTACACGGCACAAGAGTAATCAATGCAACCAAGACTTATTTGCAGGAGATGAAAATAAATCTGTTTTACAATACGAAAAAAAGACTAATAATTCATCATATTATATACAGCCTTAATCATCTGACATAAGACCAGTTTCACAGTAAAGCCTGCATGTAATGTCCAAGACTACATCTATACAGAGGATAATCCACAGATAAATAAAAAAATGCATGCATTTTGATAAAAATGTCAGAACACACAATACCTCAAATAACAATATGCTTTTATATAAGATACTTACGTCTGGATTAAACATACATTTGCATTGAGTTATTTATTAATTTATAATAATAATTATAATTCTTTACATTTATATAGCGCTTTTCTAGGCACTCAAAGCGCTTTTACATTGTCAGGGGGAATCTCCTCATCCACCACCAGTGTGCAGCATCCACCTGGATGAGCCGTTTCAGTGCTGTGCTTATGATTATATAAATGAAAAATCTAAATAAATTAATTTTTTAAAAGACTATCATTACTTTATCATAAGACTATTATTTTGTAAAGTTTTTTTTTTTTTAATTCCATAAAATTGTGTATATTATGATATATAACCTATTGTTATTAACCAAAATATATATATCATAATTATCATGATTCTTGCTTTTTTTCTTGCTTATATCATCCACCCCTACCACAGTAATAATTTGCAGCATCCAAAGTTGTATTTACAAGGTACCAGGCTGATAGAGTTCAATGAGTTTGTGATGACATCAAATCTTTGAAACAAGTAAACGAGGCACCCTTGAGCACACCTGCATATTCTCCTTTGTTGTCAGTTATATCCGGTTACAGATTTACCCACCTTGAAAAGCAACCTGTGGTAGGTCACTCTGGATTTTGGCCAGACGTTTTCCTATCTACATTGGCAGTCTTTGGCCTAAATAAGCTGCAAAGTGGACCAAAGTGACTTTGTTTTAATATTTAAAGGTCTAGATATACAAGCTATCCTGTAAATGTGCCTTTAAAGATGGTTTGGCTTTATTTAGGCCAAGCAGACATGACATAATCATATCCTAAGAACTTGCAAATGTCCTCACAGGATGATCTCATAACATGAGGCAACATGAGCTTAATATTTAGACCATGGATGCTAAACACAGATAATGCTGTGTACTACACTAGCACAAACTTCCGGCTCTATAAAGAACACAGCTTGCAAAAAAACTACTGTATGTGTAGTTGTGTGTATAAGGCTGGACGTTTCATTGAATTGCGTATTAGCGTGTAAGCTGGAGATTACATCACTGCGCGTCATCTTTGGTGCCCAGAGCACTAGGTGTCCTAACTGCCCGTTAACGGGTTTACGGCTTCGGCACGCAACATCCTACAGGGTTTCTCAGTGCTGGCCCTGCCACAACCTTCATCCATCAGCTGCCACCGACACACCAACGTCTGACCCCAGGCTACTGACACACACTCACTCTTTCACACTTTATTAGACACTGTATGTGTTAACATCACCCTCAGATATTCAAAGCTCTGTATTGGTTGCAATAATCCCAAAGGTGATGACGCATTGCTGCTGTATTGGAAAGCTCTGGAAAGCAGAGTCCATAATATCAGTGTTAGCTCAGCATAAACTCTGGTTAGATAACTCATATGGCCACACATACGGAGAAAAGGCTATAATCATTACAGAGTCGTGAGAGAGAGATAAAATAACCGGGTTAGATCACTGCTCTGATGTTTGTCTTCAAAATACATAATTCAGTCCTTTTAAATGTTTTGGTCAATTTTTTTTAACTGTAGCTACCTATTAAAATGTTTCGACATTGTTTTTGTTCTTGTAATTGCTTGTTGTTGTAATTTTTACAATGACAATGCACTAACTGCAAAGTATTATGCTATTACCTTGTTTTCGGACACATACCATGGAAATGCAGCGGCTAGAGTCCTTACCAAGTCAAGAAAATATATTCATATTACCCCAATTTTACTGTAATACACTTAATACACCTACTAAGTTCCGTATCAGTTACAAAATATTATTACTTACCTACAAGGCCCTTAATGGTTTAGCTCCTGCATACCTAACTTGTCTTCTACCACGCTACAATCCATCACGCTCCCTAAGGTCGCAAAACTCTGGACTTTTGGTAGTACCAAAGCCCCACTGATACTAGTATAGCAAAGTCCACTAAAGGAGGTAGAGCTTTTTCGCATTTGGCTCCCAAACTCTGGAATAGCCTTCCTGATAACGTTCGAGGTTCAGACACACTCCCTCTGTTTAAATCTAGATTAAAGACACATCTCTTTGGCCAAGCATTCAAATAATGCATCTCATAATCTTTTACTGCAGTTATATCTGATCAAATGCACATTATTATTCCTTAGCTTGGGTTGAACAAATCAATTTTGCTTGGTTGGAACAGCAGCTACCCTAATTATGTCTCTATTTGTTTCTCTGTTTCTGCCACGGGATTAACATCCCGTGGTAACTAGGATTTACACAAGCTTCAATCTGGATTCAGCCCTTACAAAGACCTGAGATGACCGAACACCTGAGAAGAGATGATGCCAACCCCTCAGAGGACCTTGGATGATGCCAACCCTGAAACAACATAAACTACCAAATTTTGCTACAAGTTTGATTGCAACATATAATAATTGCTGTTAATAGTGTTTTCTTTGTCTGTTTGATTACGTCATTAACTGAATTTTACCGTACATTTCTGCCATATGTACATCAATTTGACAAAGTCCCCACTGATAAGCTACTACTAAATATATTGTAGAAACGCAATTTTCTGTAAAGCTGCTTTGCAACGATTTGTATTGTGAAAAGCGCTATACAAATAAACTTGAATTGAAAAATGTATATATATGCTAATATGCTAATCAATTAATCGTTAAATTTTTTAGACAAATACAAACTGTGGTGGCATGAAGTATTTACAAAACTAAAATACTTAAAATCAAATACTGAAATGTAATACTATTTCATATTTAAAATATTAAATATTACACTAAGAAGATGTTATATATAATTAAATATTTAAAAAATGTAATATTTAAAAGTATATGTGTGTACAGAGATGCTTGCTATACAAAAAAATGATGCTTGTATTATTTAATAGCTTTGATGACTTTACTTTTATTTAGAATGTGCAAAATAGTAGCAATAAAAATTAGACAAAACTAATTGTATTAATATACCATGCATGGTATTTCCATCTGATACATTACTATACCAAACACAGCACCACAACAGTAATTTTTGTAAAGATAATTTGTGGAAAAACTATGGCATATGTGCAGTGTCACGCACTATGCTAACAAAAAGTGTTGATTGGCATATTTTCTTTGTCACGCTTGGATAATATTAAATGCTGGCACCTTACATGCGTGTGCGGTTGCATGTACGAACAAACCAAAACATTTTTCAGAAAACTTCCTTGAATGCATTATGGTGGCATATGTACGTAAGATGTAATAAGATCCATCAGGGTCTAAATCTTGATATTTCTGTTATCATCTAAAGGGAGCATTAGCACAATTACCTAAAGTAAACAGCACTCAAAGATAGACAGCTCATCCAACCATCAAAGTTCATACAACACCAGATAAGATAAGAAACTCACTAATCCTGTACGATAAGAGAGAGAGAGTGATTAATGCCAATGCATAACTGGCTGATATTTGATATCTTGTACAATCACGCACAAACCCATGTAAACGCACGCACACGGATGCACCGAGTCTTCACGCCATCCTCAGATGTCATTGTCGTTATGCGTGACACCTGAAACCTGCTTCGCCAGATGTACCTTGCCGCTCTCGCATGCAAACGACAATGGTGAACGTAGGCTCGACTAACGTGGTCTTTGAGGGGGTTTAGCAAGCCAGGGTGTCTCTTTCAGTGTCTGCGGGTATGTTAATGTAAATGAGACATGGAAAGAGAACAAAGACGGTTTGGGAAGCGAGTGTAGAATGGATTCAGATGTAGTGTGACAGAAGAAATTAGTCTTCAGCTACACACAGCGCTCCTACTGAAATGGTGAATTTCACCTCTTGATTCACTTAGAAAATGTAAGAAGAGAGTCTGAAACAAAGCAAACTTTTTTTGGAATGAAAAAAGCTTCAGACTGATTTATTCTACAGCGAAATGAGCTTCATGCCATTTGTGTAGCTTTTTTTCATTATCAAAACCCTTTCAAGTCCACACAGGAAAAAGAAACAAACAAAAAAATTGGCACAGCTGAAGGGTTAAAACAGGGCATTTTTACAGTAAATAATTCAGTGTAAGGCGAGAACTCTCATGTGTGCCTCTTTGGATGCTCTCCTTTAGACATCTATTGAGTTTCCTTCTGTCTGTGTGGCAACCGAAGCTCCCTGGGTCACATCCCCTCTACTTTCTATGACGTGAGCTCTGAAGCGTGTGAATGAGAGAGAAAGACTGAGAAAAAAACTAAAAGAGGCAGAGAGCGGATTACAGTTTGGCTACATTCATCCCAAAGCTTAATATTATGGTAGGATATTCAGTGCAATATCGTCTCACAGATGGTTACTGAAACCACAAGCTGTGAAAATCTGTCATTTCAGTCATTTCAGAACCATCTCTAGTGCTTTGATTTGGCTGATAATAACCCTGAAGTCATGCGTGGGCTAAGCAGGTCTCAGTCATCATAGGTAATGCAGGCGGCACATGCATATTTGACATATTCAGGACAGGTGTGATGAGTATTCAAATGCATTCAGGACTGACAGGAAACTTATTGTATAAATGCAGGTCAAATATCAGTACAAACAGACATGGGTTTCTTCATCAAAACAGATTTGGAGAAATTTAGCATTACATCACTTGCTCACCAATGGATGACGGCACCCATTCACTGTAGAGGATCCATTGGCGAGCAAGTGAATGCTAAATTTCTCCAAATCTGTTCTGATTAAACTCATCTGCATCTTGGATGGCCTGAGGATGGGTACATTTTCAACAAATGTTCATATTTGGGTGAACCGTTCCATTAAAAAAAAAGTTGTGATTTAGTTTTTCATGTCCATTTTCCAGCCTCTCCAATGAATAAAATTAAACATGCTTTCTTTTCGCTGCTGTGCTTTTATGGATGTCTATATATAAGCGAGCACTTTGCATGTGAAATGATTATTTATAATGAATTACATAGTTAGCACTGCCTCATGCATTTTCATAACAAAGTCCCTGCATTACATTCTGGCAGGTTCACCCAACAATCTGCTCTGAAATGTGACGCACAAACTGTTAAGGTTGGACATGATCAGGAACATTGTTGAAAATAAACTTTCTTTCCTAACATCATCCAGAGCTGCATGTGCAGCCTCACAGCTAGGAAGAGTGAAAGATTTGGCAGACTATCTTATTAATGTTAGTTTATATACAAACTGTAGTCATAGTTTCTTGTTCTTTTGCTGTTCATGATTAATAGTTTCTAACCTGTTTTATTAGGTCCTTATTAATTCATCATGACTGGGAGAGCCAAACTTAATACTGAAAAGCTGTCATTGGATTGGCGTAGAAATGTTAGAAAACAGCACAACCCGCGTGAAATGATGGTACAAAATGCTGGAGAAAACATTCTTGAAATCAATTGTCTGACTCTGGAATGTAGTCAAGTGTAAGTATCAATTAATGTCAGAACTACAGGGGTCTAATAACTGATTGTTTTACAACAAACAGACGTCTTCAAGGTGTAATCACAGGTTATCAGTTTCATTTAGAAAAACAGAGTAAAGGAGTCGCCCTACAGGACATGGATAGCTGAGGTCTGCAAACACTGGAAAAACCTGGTACGGTGAGGTCAGAGAGGTCAGGCATTTGAGTACAGTGATATAAGGCCATGCACACTACCATTCAATAGTTTGGGGTCAGTACATTTTTTTAATGAATACTTTATTCAGTAAAAGTGCATTAAATTTGCACTGTACTAAAACTTTGAACTAATTTAAACTTCTTATTCATCAAAGAATCCTGAAACAAAAATATATTAAGCAACATAACTATTTTTAACACTGATAGTTACAAGAAATGCTTCTTGAGCAGCAAATCAGCGTATTAGAATTATTTCTGAACGATCATATCATGTGACACTAAAGACTGGAGCAACGCAAAAGCTGCTAAAAGTTCAGCTTTGCCATCACAGGGATAAGTTACGTTTTAAAATACATTTTTTACTAAACAGTTTTTACTATATTTTGTGTCAAATAAATGAAACTCTGTTGAGCATAAAACACTTCTTTCAAAAATATTAAACAATATTACCCCAAACTTTGAAAGGCAGTGTAAAAACACATACACATAGGGTGCAGTTCATACCGAGACACCATTCTGTGAAATTCCACACTTTGTGAAGATTTTGAAGCATCGGACATGAGAAAAAGCACCTATCTGCTGTTCTTACCAGACTAGAAACCAATATCATGATGAAAGACACTAAATAAAGCCTTGAAAAAGACTATGGATAAAAACTAGGGTACATGAACCAAATTCAGAAAGGTCAAGAAGTCCCAAAAATGCAACATCCACAACTGTGGCCTAAAGAACTGATACGATTGGAAACTCTTAGGCTATACAGCAAAGTTACTGACACCTGTGAAAACGAGACTCTTTTCCGTTGTTCAAGGGTTTTAAGACACTTGATCTCCATTTGCACGTGTATAGACGGATCTACCAAGTTAACACATGCAGCTTGAACCAAATCTTTAAAGACTTACCAGCCGGTAATATGCAAAACGTGAAGAAAAAGGTCATCTGATTTATCCTGAAATGTATCCTGTTTGCATCAAGAAAACGAGAGATTGGCTACAGCCTGAGTATATTAGCAGGTTGCCTGCCACTGATTTGCCAGAATACAGCTGGTTAACTGAATCAGAGCCCTTGTTCTCTTTGTTTAGCCTGCATAGATGACCTTTAACCTTCTATTGAGACCTTCCACTGCAAACTGGACGGTCAACAGTGATTCCAACAACTTTCATTTTGAACTAACTGATACGTGGAGCAATAAAAAAGGGCCTGCTGCCATGTTAGATGTCCTGAACATCGTGTCCAAATCATTTATGACTATGAGATTCTGCAGTTCTGCTTTGGCTTGAGGTAACAAACATTCCCCTCACAGAACTGTCAAAAAGGCCATTCACCTCAGGTCTGAGATGTAGCTAGTTCAGAAAATTCAGCTTTGCAATCACAAGAATAAATTACATTTTGAAATTGTATTAAAATAGAAAAAGATTATTTTGAATTGTAATAATATTTCACAATATTACCATTTTTACTGTAATTTTATAAAATAAATGCAGCCTTGGTGATCATAAAAGACCTTCGACTCAGCTTGTAATAAAAAAAGAAAACACTGACATGAGGAAATGATTCAGTGTTTTCTTCCTGTACACTAACTGACAGCAAAGCAAATCAAATCCAGTCTTTTTTTTTTAACAGATTTTGCTGTAAACCTCATAAAAGTTGATTTTCTACATCCTGTGTATCATGCTTACACTAGAAATGACATGGTTCTTGAATTTTCTGTTTTCACCTGGCCTCATCCATCTGCAATGTTTCTGTTTGTGCTAAACTGACAGTACTGACACTCTGCGGTCTGTTACCTCAGTAGATATAAATAACTGATTTATCGCCTCCATATCCATTCGTACTCTCTAACCTCTCAACAACTCTTCAGTCTTCACACCTACATAATTTGCAAAACAAAGTGTCAAATCTCACGAAACATAATACAAATCCTCTTAAAAGACACAAGCAATAAATTGGAGAAAAAGAATAAGTCAACCAAACATGATTTTAATAACCAGTGACACACTCCTAACAATACCCTTGTATGCATTTGCATTTGTAATATATTTAATTGAATATATGCCAACCACAATACATTTCCAACATATGCCATTCAGTAACAGCTGAGCAGACGGGTAGACTAACTGTCATTTTCCGCTGCAGTACAATCCACACTTCTGACCTAACTTGCAACTAATTTGAACCCTGGCTATTAGAGGGTTCATATCCCTCTCAAAACCAAACAAAATACACTTTGACATATAGCTTGTGCGTAAAGGCAGCCAAAATACGTTCTGCATTGTCCTTTTCAACAAAAAATCTGAGAAGCATTTTACAAGTGAAACGATAAATACTTACTCCATCGGTTCAACAAGCTGTTCATGTGCATCATGAGGAGGTGGTGATGGTCAGTTTCCTGTGACTGCCTCTAGAAGAGACCACACAAGTGTACCATGAAATACTGGATGGCAAATTATATTGAAATATGTACTACAATAAAATACAACATATCCTAATTAAAATGAAGTGTTGACTGACTAGGCAGCATTTGTTTTCTTATCTCCACCCTGTTTTTTTTTTTTTGTAAAGCTAGATCTCATCTGTACTTCTAAAGATAAAGCAACAGTGTTAGATAACTGTTCCTAACTAAACTTGCTAGAAGACAGATTATATGCTTGTAAATTCCTTGTTTATGACATTTATGACATGATTTATTCCAGACCATCTTTCGAGATAGAAGTTTTACACCGAAATAAAATTGAAAACCCTGAAATTTAAATAAATAAATATTATTTTTCGGGTTTACTATATTTTATATTTATTTATATTAGTACTTCTTATATTTTAACTATGTGCAAATGAAAGAAGAGGCCTTGGTGATCATAAAAGACCTTCGACTCAGCTTGTAATAAAAAAAGAAAACACTGACATGAGGAAATTATTCAGTGTTTTCTTCCTGTACACTAACTGACAGCAAAGCAAATCAAATCCAGTCTTTTTTTTTTAACAGATTGTGCTGTAAACCTCATAAAAGTTGATTTTCTACATCCTGTGTATCATGCTTACACTAGAAATGACATGGTTCTTGAATTTTCTGTTTTCACCTGGCCTCATCCATCTGCAATGTTTCTGTTTGTGCTAAACTGACAGTACTGACACTCTGCGGTCTGTTACCTCAGTAGATATAAATAACTGATTTATCGCCTCCATATCCATTCGTACTCTCTAACCTCTCAACAACTCTTCAGTCTTCACACCTACATAATTTGCAAAACAAAGTGTCAAATCTCACGAAACATAATACAAATCCTCTTAAAAGACACAAGCAATAAATTGGAGAAAAAGAATAAGTCAACCAAACATGATTTTAATAACCAGTGACACACTCCTAACAATACCCTTGTATGCATTTGCATTTGTAATATATTTAATTGAATATATGCCAACCACAATACATTTCCAACATATGCCATTCAGTAACAGCTGAGCAGACGGGTAGACTAACTGTCATTTTCCGCTGCAGTACAATCCACACTTCTGACCTAACTTGCAACTAATTTGAACCCTGGCTATTAGAGGGTTCATATCCCTCTCAAAACCAAACAAAATACACTTTGACATATAGCTTGTGCGTAAAGGCAGCCAAAATACGTTCTGCATTGTCCTTTTCAACAAAAAATCTGAGAAGCATTTTACAAGTGAAACGATAAATACTTACTCCATCGGTTCAACAAGCTGTTCATGTGCATCATGAGGAGGTGGTGATGGTCAGTTTCCTGTGACTGCCTCTAGAAGAGACCACACAAGTGTACCATGAAATACTGGATGGCAAATTATATTGAAATATGTACTACAATAAAATACAACATATCCTAATTAAAATGAAGTGTTGACTGACTAGGCAGCATTTGTTTTCTTATCTCCACCCTGTTTTTTTTTTTTTGTAAAGCTAGATCTCATCTGTACTTCTAAAGATAAAGCAACAGTGTTAGATAACTGTTCCTAACTAAACTTGCTAGAAGACAGATTATATGCTTGTAAATTCCTTGTTTATGACATTTATGACATGATTTATTCCAGACCATCTTTCGAGATAGAAGTTTTACACCGAAATAAAATTGAAAACCCTGAAATTTAAATAAATAAATATTATTTTTCGGGTTTACTATATTTTATATTTATTTATATTAGTACTTCTTATATTTTAACTATGTGCAAATGAAAGAAGAGCGCAGTCTAATATAAAAAATACATTTTAAATATTATAAATATTCAAATTAAATCTACATGTAAATCATGAATACAACTATCTAAATAATTACTATTGTTCAGTAAACATAGTCAAATATTTAAACATGAAGCAAAACAGTATAGGTTCCGCAATGGCGTCTCTAATTTAAATAAAAGAAAGGAAAATATGTACTTACAAATCCACCTGCTTCCCTCAAAATTCTTTCTGGCAGCTTTCTTCGAAAATGTGCCTTAGATGTTGCAGGTATATCCAAAGTATGAATCCACAGCGCTGTGAAGGCTTCCGTCGCAGACTGGCTCCGCGCGCTACTGCGTTCTGCAGCGCACAAGCACAGAACGCGCGCAGAGCGTTTGATCAGTTGCCATAGGAACCTGCGAGGTGAAGCCTTCATGCTGATCATAGGCTCCACATATCTGCGCAGAGACTGCAAACTTGTGGCGCCTCCCACATGCTACAGATTTTCTTCATTTTCGAGGCAAAATATCTCGCAGAATGTCCTACATATTTTGATGTTGACTGTGTGAATACGACAGGTCTCGTATGTGTAATATATTTATGTGTCACGTAAAACGAAATATTAAATTAGCCAAATGAAAGCATATGGATCATTCTCAAACTCATTTATTTTTGAGTTTATAATAAGAGTTTTCTCTTTTTGTTTAATCTTTATATGTGTCTATTAAGACTGCAAGACAAATATTTTGTTTGCAGAATGCACTGTCCTCTGACGCCCTCTAGTGATGGATCACATGAAGAGTTCTTTACTTAATTAAAACATCATTTACATTAAAACTCGAGTTATCATTTACTTATGTGCATGCCGTCAAAACCTGTATGGGTTTCTGTCTTCGGTGTAGAACAAAATGAGATGACAGAATATTCATTTTTGGGGTGAACTATTCTTAAAGGGAAAGTTCACTCAAACAAAATTAAAAATTCTGTCATCATTTACTCACCTTCAAGTTGTTGTTTTTTTCCCGCATGAACACACGAGAAGATATTTTGTAGAACGCTGCACCAAACACTTGCCGGTAGCCACTGACTTCCATAGTAGAGGAAAAAAATACTATTGAAGTCAATGGCTACCAGCAACTGTTTGGTTACCAACTTTCTTCAAATTAGTATCTATTTGTGTTCAACCGAAGAAAGAAACTCGTACAGGTTTGGAACAACTTGAGGGTTAGTAAATTATGACAGAATTGTTATTTTTAGGTGAACTATCCCTGTACTATTTATCATTTTAAGATTACCTGACTTTTTATTTTTGATAAAAAGGAACAATTGTGAAAAATGATGAAAAAAGAAGTGGGGAAAAACAACACTCCCTGTTGAAAAAACCAGCATATGCTGGTTAGGTATGTTTTGACGCTGGGATGCTGGTTTAAGCTGGTCCTTTGCTAAACCAGCATCCCAGCGTCAAAACATACCTAACCAGCATATGCTGGTTTTTTCAACAGGGACTGAACTACAAGATAAACGTTAACAGAAAATGTTACAATTTTGCAGAGACTTGAAGGCATTTAATCATGTCAAAACAATACTATTACGACACTACATGCTACTACTACTATTAATAATACATAAATAAAAATAAAACAAAAGTAAAGGCAACTTTAATTTATTCAAATAATCAACTGGATACAATATATAGAATGGTCAGCAATGAGATCAGAGGACGCTGTAAAGAGCTCAAACATGCTTCGAAAACATGCTGATTGAAATTGCGCGATTGTGATGGCATGCATTTATGTAACATCCCTGTAAACAGCCCTCTCAACAGTGCTCAAATGCAGTCGCTAGTCTGATATGGATGCAAACATTTACTCTAGCCCTTCAAGAAATACTGGGCAGAAACAGTGAGGAATGATATTAAGAGGTTATAAATATACAGTACAGCATTCACTTTAATATACAATACACTTCTCTATTCAACGTACCGTTTGCAATGTCAGTCTTTGAGAAAGTGGCTGTACATAGGAAACGGAAAAATGCTGTCTTTGATTTCAGCTATAGTGAATTTAGCTCGTAGTTTTGATTGTACAGAAGAAGAAAATATGGTTATGGAGGCCTTCACTAAACATGCATCATCTGAATTCTGCTAAACATTCTAATGTGCAAAGATAAATCTCCATATATATTTTTTTCCATTTTCCCTATAAATACTTAATCAAAAAAGGGGAACGGTGCTTCTCTGGTCCTGAATATATTATTTAAAGGTCATCAAAATCTGTTAAAATGTCCACTTACATATACGGTAGTGATATTGTATAACCAGCTTCGGTCGGTGCACATGCATATTTAAGTCAATATTACAAGATTCCTTCAATAATCAACATCCAACATACACAAGAGACCAACCGACTGACTTACACAGTCCAGAACTGCACCACAATGTGAGATTTCTTATGCATAGTAATAGTACCTACACAAAAGATTCAAATGAAAAGTCTTAAAGACTGAGAAAGAAAATCACAGAAAACAAGTACTATAAAATACAGCAGAGTTTAACATGCAGGAAAACAAAAAAGTGGAAAAAACAAAAAAGTAGAGAGGTGACCTATAGAGTTACAAGGTAAACCAACAACATACATTCAACCTACTTGTGCAGAAAAGCCTCCCCTGATACATGGAAGCATGAGCTATGTTATTCATTTCAGTGGTGGAAAAGCACCATCACTCCGACATTTTGAAACTACAGCTAAATAGAGCAAACAAACAAACAATCATCGAAACAAATTCAACACAGGAGATACATGACCGTATAGTGCACATTAAGAAAATCTCAACAGGGCTTTGGACTATTTTTGCTAACTTTAAAACTTAAAGCATAAGCGAGTTACTATAGTTCTACACTGTCTAGAACAGCTTGTCTAAAATGTCCAATTCTACTTTATCTACAATTCTATCGTACCAAAAAACTCTACACATGTACTGATGATCTATGCTACAGTTATGAGTATGAAAATGTAAGGCATACATTTGTGTCAAAACAGACAAACATTGATTCCTTAAGTGAAAAGTCATGCATAGATTGCACAGAGTTATTGCATTTCCTTAAGAACTTAATAGAGTATGCGTCCTATATAGAAATGCCGATAACGAACTCACTCTGATCATGACGAAGTCGGAAATGCACTACTACATGGCATTTTGGTAATTCTACACAGGAAAAGGAAGTGAAATTACAGTAAGAAACTGTTAGCTTCATGATTAAAAGGGTCGTTACATACAAGAAGAAGAACGGTCACAATGCCTATTGTGGCATTCCCTAAAGGTTATTTGTGCCCTAAATAATTAACCTACTATTCAAAAACATGCTATGTAACTCTCTCATCTCTTGGTTTTGGGCTTTGTTGTTTAAAAAAAAAAAAGAGACAGTTTCCAGGTTTGGTCCTGTTCACCATCTACAGCGCTGACATTATAATATAAACACAAAGTTATGTGATTTTATATATATAAACAAACACACACATACAAACTTATGTGCATTTTCCCTAAATGACATCCTGAAGTATTTTATTTACTACATTTATACACATATCCTGACTGCAAATTTTAAGAATTTGAATTAATTTTATAATTTCACTTATTTTGCTTAAACAAACCTGCTTTTGAGAAGAATTTCAGTTTAAGTTGAAATATCTGATGAAAGTCTTAGTTGTTTTTTTTTCCATTTATTTTTAAATTCAGTTCTGATAATCTAATGAGATCTGTAAAACTGCAATGAAGTCTCTCTAATCAATCAGTGATGGAAATCATAAATTTCTTCTTATAAGTACATTTTAGATGTAACTGTCAGCAATTTTGAAAAATTTTAAGTATTTAAAGCTATTTATTTCACGTGTTAACTTCTGTATAATTTGTTTAAACAAACCTGATTTCTGAGATTTTCAAGTTAAAAAATTTTTGGGATGAAAGTCTGAGCTATTTTTTATTTTATCATTTTCAAATCATATCATGTCTCTCAAATTAACGAGGGATGGACAAGAAAGAAATCATACATCATACAAGAATTAAAAACTAGTTAAAGGTTATTGTCCGCAAATGTGCAAAGGCTATTTATTATTTTATTTGCCTTGATTTTTATTTCTATATATTATTTATTTTATTTAAACCAAACAAACCTGAATTTCAAGATTTTTTTTGACAATAAATTAATTTCTGATGAAAGCCTGAGCTATCTTTATTTTATTACATTCAAATTCAGTTCTAATAATCTATAAGATCTGTAAAACTGCCACAAAGCAGCATGTCTCTTTAAGTAATGAGTGATGGACAAACCTAAGAAATTGTAAATTCTTCCCTAAAAAATTCTGTTTAGCCTCGTGGTGGCACCCCCTAGCTGAAGTAGAGTAGAGTCTCCGTGCCGGAGAGGAGAGTAGAAACAGCCGCGCACACAGAAAACAGGTCCTGAGAGACGGCAGAGACCTGGGCAGACGGATACAGTGCATGCTGCTGTGGACTTTACAAATGCATGCATGAGTGGGTGGGCACCCTCCACATTAACAACCTAACATGAGCTTCTTTCTTTTCTTCCTTCCTTCCATCTTCCTATCCACGCCCCAGCCCCAGGTCCATATCCTGGCCTTCCGGCAGCCACGACAGCCCCATCCTTGCGCATTTCGCCCGAGCAAAACGCCCACAACTATCAGGAAAGAACTTCATCCTCGCCCACGAAGGGCAGGTCCACACTCCGCATGCCTTCCTCGCTCTCTTGTTTCCTAGGAAACAGACAAATGTGGAGGTTTAAAATAACCGCACATTCCAGGCGTGTCAACCTGTCTATGGCAATGCAAACTGTTGTTAAGTGCGGGGTACATGGCATCGCATCAGTCATATGCTCGGGTTGGAAGGAGGCACATGAGAGTGACTGACTACCATGTTTTTGCGAGGGGTTGTACTGGGAAGGCCAGGACTGCGGCACCACATGCAAAATGCACCCAAGTCCAACAAACCAATCAGAGTCCTGGTAAAAAAAAATGACCATGGCTGGGTGGCAAATCAGGATGCTCCTCTCCTTTTTTGTTGCTGACATTATGAATGAGGGGCATGCAGATATAGAAGCACCTGGAAAACATCATCCTGAACTGCCCATGAACTTACAGGACATACATGAACTTGTTTTATCTGTTAAACATTACATGCAAAATATGCTTGATGTACTAAGGGTTGATTATTAAAAGTAGCTTGTACAGCTACTAAGGTTCTTTAAGAGGGAATATCATGAATATTTTAAATATTACATGCATAAAATGCTGTTTATTAGGTAGGAAAACACAAGCGGAAAAGCTTGTTATTCTTTAAGCCATCTGAATGATGGTTTTGAGCATGCTAAAAAACACCACACCATTCCTTTTAAGTGCAGATCATTCAAAATGGGCATGACCATTATCTCCTACATATAATATAGGTGGAGGAGAGTGAACAGGACATAGGTGGAGCGCTAACAGGCTAGCGGAGCTTTACCTGGGGATACTGAGATTGCGGCAGTATTTCAAACTCCCTGCTCTCCCTTTTCTAGACGGCAGGAGAGATGCGGATACATGAGAATTCTTAAAACAGAGCGTTTCTATCAAATATTCCTGAAAACATGACTAAACAAGAGCCTTAAAGGAATATTTCATGCTAAATATAACTCAAATATGCAAATGATTACCACAGAAAATAATTTATGCTTGTCCCTTGGTTTCTGAAAATCAACAAAAAAGTAGGTTAAAGGGATAGTTCACTCAAAAATGAAAATTCTACTCACCCTCATGTCATTCCAAACTTGTATGAATTTCTTTCTTCTGTTGAGTACAAAAGAAGGTATTTTGAAGAATGTTGGTAACCAAACAGTTGATGGAAGCCATTGACTTCCATAGTATGGAAAGAAAATACTATGGAAGTCAATGGCTAAGTATAGTAAGAATTTTCATTTTTGGGTAAACTGTCCCTTTAACAATCTTCGCAAAGCTATTATTATAAGATATTGTTACTTTGCTAGGTAGTAATCAACCTAGCAAAGCACTGCAATGAAAGCTTCAACATAGCAGCAAAGGGGGCACTCATGAGTCATAAAATGATAAAAACGACTATAGCTTTGTTCAAATATGCATACTTTCCCACTATGTAGTAGACGAGAAACAGTATGTGATGTCTGAATTCACAGCATTCATTAGACATTATGCAAAAAGTACCCAAATGACCTACTACTTCCAGTCACTTTACTATCCCATGAGGCACCTGCAGAGGATTTGTGAATGGCAGTGAAGCGACGACAGCAATGACAACCTGGCAGATGTAGTACGTCTGGATTTCATTCATATTACACACACTTACACAGAACATTACTTTTTAAGTAAGTTCATTTAGTCATTTAGCAGAAGCTTTTATCCAAAGCAACTTACAAATGAGGACATCAGAAGCAATCAAAACCAACAAAAGAGCAATTCATAAGTTGATGTTCAAAAATTCAAAAGTTCATATTCAAATGCAGTCCCTTATCGGACAGTATGGTCTTGTGGACTTTATGGACACACACAAGTGAAGAAAACAAGTCCACATTAAGTATGCCTTTTGGAACAAGGCCTTTCACATCTTGAGTAAAGTATTTTAGCTTAGCAGGCTAATCGGTTAGCTTGGTAACTGTAAGCTAAATGAAAACAAAATAAACATGTTTAATGTGACCATTCTTAGCTTTGGCTTCATAATGCAATGTGTGATGTATAAGTTCAAGAACATGAATTTATTAATCGACAGAGATGCATTATATTAGAAATTTAGTAATTTAGCAAATCACTGGATTAAACGTCACCCACAGAAACTGTTAGAAGCACACAAAGAGTTAATTCACCAAGAAATGTAGTCTCATCTCAAAAAGATAATTTAGACAACTTAAGAGGTTAAATAACACATTTTAATGAAGGTTTAGAGTGTTAAAAAACATTCAAAAGTTTGTATGTCAGTAAGATTTTTTTTTAACGTTCACTTATGCTCCAAGGCTGCATTTATTTGATCAAAAGTAGAGTAGAACAGTGACATTTGTGAGATGTCACAATTTAAAAGAGGCGTTTTCTATTTTAATATATTTTAAAATGTTTTCAGTGTCACATGATCCTTCAGAAATCATTCTAATATGCTGATTTGCTGCACAATAAATATTTCTTATTATCAATATTGAAAACAGTTGAGCTGTTAAAGTGTGATACATTTATGTGGAATCAAAATCTTTTTAAAGTATTAATAAAAGGACAGAAACTAGTCAAAATTATTTTCTGTGGAAATGTTGCATAGACATTAAGCTCTATTTTACCTGAAAATACACTTAAGCTCTATCCTTATCATATTACAGTATAACCTAGTGTAGTTAAATAGCATAGAGTAATTAAATTACTGTCAAACAAGCTAGGCAAACCATTTAAAATGGTCTGTGACCACTGAAACCACTCCAGAGTTCCAAGTCTATGTTCAGGAAGTTTGTTCCAGTTATAGCCCATCCCTAATGAGGAAGACTTACGATAGCGTGTGTCCTGGTGCGGCGGGACTCCTGTCTTCCCTGCGGCCCCAATCAAACGGGTTCCCAAAAGAACGCTTGCGCAGCATAGTCCTAACCAAGATCTGTAGCAGAGAGCATGCAGCAAGAATAAGAACTCCAAAAACAGGCGTTGGGCTGTAATCTGTGTGGGTCATTAATCTGTTTATTCATTTGATGAGGTTATTAGCATTGAATACATTATGTGTGTTCATAAAAACAGAATTAGGGTTGTCTAAATAGGCCACCAGGGGCTTGCAATCTCACCACGGTGGCCAGGCTGGGGATGTGCTTGACAGAGTTTTCCACCTCCTCCTCTGTCACTTCTATCAGGTTGCAGCAGTTGTCGTCCTCAGGGGGGAGGGGCTCAGCGCCGTGCCGCGTCACCCATGGGTGCACCTACAACAACAACAACGGAACAGAAATCTTGCTTTGATATCATTAATTAACTCAAGACTCTGTCTAGGCAGCTGGAGTGTCCTATATTCACACAGGAAGTGCTTTGAAATCATCTTTTAAGAATAAGGAATGGTTTTATTTTTGGTCCATTTCAAGTATGGAGGCTAATTATAACATAAGAAAAAATACACTACCATGTACAAACAATTTGGGGTCAGTGAGATTTTTTTCTTGAAAGAAATTATTACTTCTATTTGGTAAGAATGCATCAAGTCGATCAAAAGTGGAAGTAAATATATTTTTTTTACAAAATATTTTTTTATGTCAAATAAATGCAGTTCTTTTGAACTTCCCATTCATCAAAGAATCCTGAAAAAAAGTATCACAGTTTAAAAAAATATATATTAAAGGAACACTCCACTATTATTGAAAATAGGCTCATTTTCCAACTCCCCTAGAGTTAAACAGTTGAGTTTTACCGTTTTCGAATCCATTCAGCCCGGGTCTGGCGTTAGCACTTTTAGCTGTAACTTAGCATAGATCATTGAATCTGATTAGACCGTTAGCATCTTGCTCAAAAATGACCAAAGAGTTTCTATATTTTTCCTATTTAAAACTTGACTCTTCTGTAGTTACATCGTGTACGAAGACCGACGAAAAAAATGAAAAGTTGGCCTTTTCTAGGCCGATATGGCTAGGAACTATTCTCTCATTCCGGCGTAATAAGCGCAGCGCCTGAAAATAGGCTTATTGGAAGTTACCTAGCTGAGGACCATTTTCAGGTGCTGCGTAATATCATTGCGCCTGCTGCACCTATGGTACGGCAGCAAAGTTCCTTGATTATTACGCCGGAATGAGAGTTCCTAGCCATATCGGCCTAGAAAATCGCAACTTTTCATTTTCCGTCGGGCTTAGTACACGATGTAACTACAGAAGAGTCAAGTTTTAAATAGGAAAAATATAGAAACTCTTTGGTCATTTTTGAGCGAGATGCTAACGGTCTAATCAGATTCAATGATCTATGCTAAGCTACAGCTAAAAGTGCTACCGCCAGACCCGGAGATCGGCTGAATGGATTCGAAAACGGTAAAACTCAACTGTTTAACTCTAGGGGAGTTGGAAAATGAGCCTATTTTCAAAAATAGTGGAGTGTTCCTTTAAGCATCTGTTTTTCAAAGTTGTTTTAAAATTCATTATAAGCATATTAGAATGATTTCTGAAGGATTATGTGACACTGAAGACTGGAGTAATAGCTGCTAAAAATTCAGCTTTGCCATCATAGGAATAAAATACATTTTAAAGTACATTAAAATAAAACAAGCTATTTTAAATTGTAATAATATTTCACAATATTATTGTTTTCACTGTATTTTTTAATAAATGGAGCCTTGATGAGCATAAGAGACTTTTTTCAAAACCATCAGCCAAATCTTACCGACCCTAACATTTTGAATGGTAGTATGCATGGTTCCAAAACATTTACATATAAAACAACCAAACATCAATCAATAGCTTGATTCTAAGCCAAAACTGCCCAATCATAAAAGAGGGCTAGTATCGTTGTACTTTAGTACTAGTACTTTGTTGAACTTGAAGGTGGCTTCATCAGTGAAATAAAAAAGTCACACTGACCTTGATTTGTGGGACAGTAATTCTGGTTTCAGGATTCTTGTCCAACATTTTAAACAGAAGGTCTTTTAAGTCATCTGATATGTCCGCGCTGTTAAGTGGGACAAAAATCAATGTCAGAACATCAGGATGGGGAAGGTCTATCAGGCTCAAGAGAAATACTCACTTCTCTGGAAGCTCCACCGGTTGGGTCTTGATCTTCTGATGGAGGCTCAAAATACGCTCATCCATAAACGGACACTGTAGAGAGAGGAAATAAAGTGAAAGACCACAACAAAAAGAATTAATTTTATACACTTTTCTTGAACAGTTTTGCTGAATTGTTACTGTTTACAGTGCATATTTCATGATATATACGAAGGTCAAAACAGGGCGTACCACTCCAAAGATGAAACAGTATAAGGTGACTCCCATTGCCCACACATCCAGAGCCTATAAAAAGCATGATGGTAACTTGATTAAATCAATTTTGACAAAAAAGACCGACAGCATATTAGCAACTAGCTTAGAGAACAGAGCTTTTAACCTTTCCAGAGAAGTTCTTGCGGGTCTCTGAGAGGGTCTCTGGGGCGAGAAACGCTGGCGTCCCAACTGTGCTGGTCAGGAGGGCGTCTGCTCCCTCAAACTGGTTACTGACCCCAAAGTCGGCAATTTTAACATGGCCATCTTCTCCCACAAGCAGGTTGGAAGGCTTGATGTCCCGATGAATGATTTTCTGGTAATGTACTGTTGAGGATGAATAGTTGCCATCACTTTTAATCATTACTCATTGCATTTTGATGACTATCAAGAAGAACTGCATCTAGTCTCATAATTTGAGGTATATTACAGATAAAAATGTTAAGAACTTTCTGAAAACCAAAGACTATTTTATGCTGAGAATGGGTACACACATTTACTTTAAATGTCATTCAGATGGCTTCTTCATGTCCTGTGCTGTTATCTGATATCTATCTAGTAACTAAAACTATTAAAAAGGTTTTTGTTAATTGATAGAAATAAAGCTGAAATAAAATAATATATAAATATTACATGAAAAACTTAAATGAAAATTAAAAATGTATTGCCAAACAACGGAAATAAAAGAAGTTTAAGTACCAAAATTACTAACAAAATTAAAACTGAAATAAAACAAATTAAAGCTATAAAGATATATTAAAAACAAATAAACAAAATCTAATAAAAATGACAAAATGACTAATGAAATAAAACTAATGAAATGTAAACTGAACATACTAGTATACAAATAGTATAAAAATATAATAATAAAATACAAATATTAATATAAAGTATATAAATCAATAATAAATAATAATAATACTAAAATAACACTGCTAATTGGCCAGTTCTTGGACAGAATAAGCAATGTGGACTAGACATGAAAACTACAATTATATTGAAAATTGAAAATATAAAAATAAAAGCTAAATCCTATAACAGTATATAAATTATATTAAAATAACACTGCTAAGTAGGTAGATGCCCAGAATAAGATATGCTGACAAGACTTTAGTCTAAGAGTTTGGCTCTATTAGACTATCCAGTGCCCAGCCAATGGCGTGAGGCCATGAAAATGTAACTTGTCCTTTTATCTGGATGTATTAGCAACACTCATGAGTATTGATTAGCTAAATTCCTGCACTCACAATACTCAATTCCTCTCAGCAAGTCCTGGAAGTAGAAGCGTGCCTGGTCCTCATCCAGGGGCTTATCAGTAGGAACTTCCATCACCGCTCTGCAAACACATGGGGAATGAGACACAGTTTCTCTAGCAGAGTGACACTAGCACAGCATGGGCCGGCACTACAATCAGAAATAACATGCTTACTCACCCTCGTTTGACAAGCTCGAAAACTGTGAAAGCACACAGGAAACAGAGTTAGGCTGTTGTGCATTACCTTTTCTGTTTTCACATACATTTAGCACAGAAAAGTAGAATAAATTGTGCATGTGCAAGTGTGTAGCATCTGCCAAGAGGATGAGTATCTGGCCAGACTTACCCATGTACAGATGGTCCTCACTTGGATCATCCAGCACCTGCACAAAAAAACCAAAGCGGTTTAGAAAGGGAATGAAACCAGTCAGCATAGACCTTATTTCAGCACTTTCATGGCCTGTGGAGAGCAGTGAGAATGAGAGAGTGAGAGCAGATATCCAGTGTCATTACTGGTGCTGGGTGACATATGCCCCATTCTACAACCAGTACTGAGTGAGGACTACAACTGCCCCAAAAATTAGGATAAAAAATAAGCAAAAATTAATCAGAGATTGAGCAATTTTAAGTTAACATTTATTGTAATATTACAGCAATATAATTATTATTATTGTTGTTGTTATTACAGCATGTTCATAATCATCATTATCAAGATATTTTATTTCATATTAAAATTAAATTATTTATCAAATCCCAATAATATAACAATATTTTTTTAATATTATAGCAATTATTTACTATAATGCTAATAATATTACTAATTTGATTGAGCAATTTTAAGTTAACATTTATTGTAATGTTACAGCAACATATTATTATTATTATTATAGCATGTTCATAATCAGTATCAAGATATTCCATTTCATAAAAAACACCCCCCAAAAAATAAAAATAAAAATAAATAAAATAGATAGATAGTCTTAAAATGGTCTTAAAATACTCTATCTATCTATCTATCTATCTATCTATCTATCTATCTAGCTATCATTTTGATGCCATAGTGTACTGTATATTCAAGAAACCAGCTCTGTGTAAAGAGTACTGCACATAAAATGTAAATAAAATAAGCAACAAATAATAAATTTAAGTAAAGAAAAAGCAAATAATCAGAGAAATTATCAAAATTAAGTTAATATCAAAATATTACAGCAATATATTATTATTATTATTATTATTATTATACATGTTAATACTACTACTACTAATACTACTAACAATATTAATACTAATAATAATAATCAAGATTAGGATATTTACAAATTAAAAATATTTACACAAACATATATATATATATATATATATATATATATATATGTACAATCGATGCCATCGTCCATCACCGATGGCTGACAGACATCACGATGTTGAGCCGGCATCGTGACCCCCCCCATACCCCCCGCAATCCGCCGCATCCCAATACCGTGTTCGGAAAGAAAATGACGTGTAGGCGGAACCCCTAAAGGGAATAAATACGAGATGGGAGGAAAATATATATTTCAATATTTTTCCTTGCAGTTAAATAATTGGGTAATTATACTACATATATATTTCAGCATCAGGGAGTCGCTATTATACCTGGCATTGAAACTGGCATCGTGCTTTTAAATGCACGATCGCTTTTAGTTTCACTTTCACTTTCAAGATTCGCGATCGCACGTACTCTGTTTATACTATGGAGCGGGAGTACTTGCCACACATTTTATAAGATTATATGTTTGTCAGTGGTACTGAGGATCTGCAAATCATTCGCCATCGTCCTCAGTCATCTGTCCTTTCTCCGTTTATGTAGTAATTGAAATTGTATGTACTGTAATGTGAAAGGCAACCGTTAGCAATCGTTTTCTGAATACGGATTCACGCTTTCGATGTCATCGTCCATCGCGATGTTTCACAGTAGACATTGTCCGATGCCAATTTTGTAGACATCGCCCAACCCAACACGCCGCACTGCATCAGCTAAAGTCTGTCTACACACAGTTGAAAATCATTTGAAATTTGTGTCAGCACGTCATAAATAGAATTTTGTAGACATCGCCCAACCCTAATTATGAGTCCATGGCTTATGCAGCAATTCTACATTTCCCATCATTCTCTGTGGTATACTTTGCTCTTTGTTTTGATGCACTAGTGCTAAAATGAATTTTACTTCAATTAAAATCACATCATAATTATGATTTTTGAACCCATTAGGAGGAACTTCTCAATGGACATTGTCTATGTGACCGTTTTAAGACTGGCTGCTGAAGATGACCTCAACTAGTCAATCATAATTGAATGATTACTGATAACACTAGCATGTTAGCTCTTTACTCTTCACACATGAAGTGTCTATATACTTGTGCAAGTTCATGAGAGTGTGTTGCGTCAGTCACTCACATAGTACGTGTTGTCGTCTTCATTGTACGCCAGCTTGACAACTCCATAGGAGCCCTTTATCAGGAAAACAAGGTGCGTCAGTCATGACAACTTGTAAATGGATCAAACTGCAATACAAACACACTCAGTAACATGCAAAAACGGTGGGAAACAGGAGGCTAAAGTGGCCAAGCATTTGTGCCGTTTGATTAACTGAAGAACATGTAAACCAAACCAAGCCAGTAGGCAATAGCTGGCATCATGATGAATGCCATAGACAGGCATAATTCCACTTCTGTTCTGTCTCTATCTCTCTCAAACCCACACACATACACACACACACACACACACACACACACACACAGGTCCCAGCTGGGAGAGCAGATTGCCGTTCCAGCAGGGAATCCAACCCTTAGACACAGAGATGAGAGCAGAGCAGGAATCTCCCCATCCAAGCTGACAGTTTTCCATGCCCTCGAATAGAGATGAAGCTTAGTGGAACAGCAACAGTGAAAACACTGCTCCTTTCACTTGCTTTACTGCATTACTCTGTATACTGCTTTATTAGTAAATTCATTACATGCGCTTATGTGTACTCTTCTTAGAAAAAAGTACTGCAGTAATACTATGGTACACATGGTTCACAAAGAACTCAAAATACTGTGTAACATAGCATTAACATGATGCCATGTCAAAAAAAAAACATGGTAAAACATGGTACTTTTGTAAGTGTCTAATTCATTCTGTTTTAATCATGAAACTTTGATCTATACTATGGTGTCACAAAATGACCATATTCATATACTATGAAGTTATTTCAAACTCTATTACCATGGTACCCTGTTCCAGAAAAGGAAAAAACAAAAAGGCACTATTGTATATTGTCTAGGCAAAATTGATTTTGAATAGTCAACAGCAACATTCTGTGGTCAAATATCAAATATTTTAAATACTTTTATTCAGCAAGGATGCTTGAATTGATCAAAAGTGACAGTAAAGGCAGTTATGATGTTAGAAAATATTTACTTCACTGTTTCCACTCACAGATTTAATATAGCACATTAAACATTGTTTAAACATTGATAATAATAATAAGAAGAAGAAATGTTTCCTGGGCACCAAATGAGCATATTCAAATAATTTTTTATTTTTTAGTCATTACCCCAATCTTCAGTGTGCAAAAAAATAATTTGAATGTGCTCATTTGGTGTTCAGGAAACATTTCTGAAAACTCAGCTTTGTCACCACAGGTATAAATCACATTTCAAAATACATTCAAATAGAAAACCACTATTTTAAATAGTAATAATATTTAATAATAAATGTATTTTTTAATACAGTAATGCAGCCTTGGTGAGCATAAGCATAAATTAAAATTTTACCGACCCCAAATGTTTAAACTCAAATCTATTTTTCATGTGTATTTATTTATTTATTTTCCAAGATACAGAAAAAAGGAAAAAGTGTGATAATTTCATGTGGCTAATTTTGTAAAAATGACCAATATGCCTCACGTATTTTGTTACTTTTCATATTTTTACCATACCAAATATGTGAGATGTTTGTTCTGAAATAAGGAAAACAGCTCAATTAATCTTTCAGCAGAGTGTTCATTCATCCCAGACTCAGCAGGAAGTGATCTATACATAAATAATAAATGAAAAATAGACATACCTTTCCGATCTCATCTTTCAGCTTGTACTGGTTGAGCTGCACGCAGTCCTTTTGAAATAAAGAAACACATGATATCGATCAATGACACTAAGGTCTTCTTTAAGGAATTGTAGTCACTACTTGTGGCCAAAGATCACAGCAAATGCTAACTTGATTCTCTCATCAAGAATGATGCTTGTAACATTCCAGGTTCAAAGAATCAAAAGCATTAGCAGAAGAAAAACTACAAGGGAGTTTTTGAGCCAGGGTTATTATAGTTAATTAAAACAAAATAAATGTTAATTGAAATAAAATATTTAAAAACTTGATTTCAGCTAGCTGCCAAGGCATCATTTCTCATTTTCGTTTAGCTTAATTTGAAGTACTAAAATAACTAAAACTAAATAAACTGAAACAAATAAATACAAATTAATAAAAACTATTTAGATAAAAATAAACTAAAAATGACTAAATTACTAAAACAGTGAAAACAGAAGATATATACAAAAGTATCAAATTCAAAATATTAACAAAAACTATAATAGTATATCAATGATACTGAAATAACACTGACTTGAGCCCAGAACGGTACACGAGCTAAAGCTACACACATTTCTCGCTGATTTCATGTCCTAATGGAAAAGCAGAAGCATCTATAGGGGAACTTTCTCTTGACAAGCGCCATTAAGAGGAAGGTTACCTTGCATACCCTCTCAAGCTTGCAGACTTGAAGCCAATGCAGAGAATGAAGAAAAGGAAATGTTCTTCTCAAAGACAATATCAGTTCTCACACAAGCAGCTCAAATTATCTCAGGGCACAGCATCACATTGTCTAGTTTTTGGTGGTGTAATTATATAAGCTTACATAATTGTTAGGCACAATGTTAACCATTGTGTTGTTCAGATAGTTGGATTGTGTTAAAATAGATGATGTTGTGTTTTACACCTTCCAGACATTGCCCACCTCTAATATAGAGAACACAAAGAGCAATTTCTATATTTTATAAATGATCTTATAATATATTTAGTATATAATATGTAATATGTAATATCTAAATATTAGGGGTGTAACGGTACACGTATTCGTACCGAACCGTTTCGGTACGGGTCTTTCGGTTCGGTACGCATGTGAACCGAACGAATACAGTTTTTGTTTTTTTTCTCCGGAAATTCAAATAATAAATGGCGTTTTGACAGTCTTTGATGTGGCATGACAGATCGCTGTATAAACACCTTGGAGAGCCGCTTCTGGGACGGTTCAGAAACGTGCTGGTAGTCATATTTGTGTACCGTTACACCCCTACTAAATATACATGAATTGACATTACTAATGAATTCAATGTTAAATACTATATAAATAATAAAAACATATTTTTATTAAAAAACTGCAACATTAGAGTAAAAAATTCAGATTTTCCCCCATGACATTTACAAGCCTACATTATTTAAAATATAGAGACGCATTAATTGATATGAATAATTTAAATGTTAAATAAATAATATATTTGAAAAAATATTTTCAACATTTTTTAGCATAATTACAAACTTTTCTGTATTTTATTTCCATGACATTTACAAGGCTTCAAGCCACTATTACAAGCCTACATCATTTAAAATATAGTGTATAATGTGAATTTTATATTAAACAATATATTTATTATACAATATTTACTGTCTATATTTAATATGTAAATAATAACTAATTGCTATTAATAATTAAGATATTGAATATTATATAAATAATAAAAATATACTTTTACAAATATGTGTCACATTTTAGAGTTCAAATATTTTATATTGATACAAGCATTTTATCATGTAAATTTTACATTACACAAAATATTTATTATAAACTATTTACTGTCTATATATTAAATATGTAAATAATAATTAATTGCTATTGATAATTTAGATATTAAATATTACATTAATAATAAAAATATCTTAATTATTTATAAATTAAATAATAATATTTATATTTATATTAATTCTATATTTTATTTCCAGCCTACAAGCCATTTTACAAGCCTACATCATTTAAAATATAGTGATCACAAAAAGCAGTTTCTAGCCCCAAAGCTTTATCATGTATATTTTTTTATATTTAATATTTAGATTTAATGTGTAATTATGAATTAATTTAAATTAATAATTTAGATAATACATATTATATAAAAAAATAAAAAAATTGCATAACAAAAATGTTTACATTTCATTTAAATATAATATAATTAATTAATGGATTTATGTAAGGGACTTCCCTACTCTTCCAAACACACCTGCCATTACCTCCGGCCACCTACCTGCAGGTCTGTGATGGAGACACGATGAGACTCCACGGTTGGTCTTCGAGGGAGGCGTGGAGACGAGTGAGGGGAGGTGATTGGCGAGTAGGGCAGCGATGGGTAAATATAGCGTCCATTCAGCCCCGGCGAACCGCAGGGCGACGAAAGCGTCTGCGAGCGTTCCTGTAGTGACAGCTTCCTGTCGGAGAGGCTCAGTCTACCTCTGTGCTCCTGTGGTTCTGGGAAGAGCGCTTCCGGGCGGCCCACCGTGTGGGATAACAGATCACAGGAGGCCATGCGGAAGGGCGGGACTGTACCTGACGATGCCGGCTCTGGCGTTTCCGAGCTGTCCATGTCCTCCATCTCCTCCTCCTCTCCGCCCTCCTGCCCTGAGCCACCACTGGGCTCGTACTCCGTCACCACAATCATGGACTCCATCTCGCTGGTACAAGAGCTCAGGCGCGTGGACGGGGAAGGGAGCACAACACAGCTCCGCAGCAGGTCAGGCAGTGGCTGATTGGGCGGCTGTACCGGGGGAATGGGCGGAGCATGGCCCAGAGCGGCAGGGGGATCAGAATAGGGCCAGGAGGAGACACAGGGAAACATAGTGTCCTTCCCAAACACCTCTCAGTAGCCCCTCCATCAAAGCCTGGCAGGAAAAACAGAGTTGGGAAATGTTAGATGTCATACAGAATGTCCGCGCTTTTGCCCAATGAATTTCCTTGACTTTGAGTATTGTTTGGGAATGGCCGTTATGATCAATTCACATTTTTATTATTATTTTTCCTTGTTCTTTCCTGATATTGCCCACTCAATATTCTATATATCCAATCCCAATCAATCAATTTTACCCAATCACCAATATTTTATAATGTATTATTTTATATATTATTTTTATCATATAATTATTATACCCATTATATAAATATTTTATATTTACTGTATATAATAGTTAGTATTCAACTGTTTAGTGTCCAATTATGAATTGATGTTAAAGGGGTCATATGATGCGATTTAAATTTTTCCTTTCTCTTTGAAGTGTTACAAGCTCTTGGTGC